ATATAACAATTATTTATGACATTCACCATTATCACTACCATTGATACCGATCCACGAGACTAATCATCATCACTGTCCGGAGTGTTTATCAGCGTCTGAGTCCCCCCGTCCGTCCAGACACCCCGTGTCCAGGCCTCATTCCTCTTCTCCACCCCTAGACACGCGATCGCGAATCATTCAACCTGATCCTACCTGCACAGCAAGGCGCCACCGTCACAGTATCTCCGGACAGATGAGTTATTTCAAAATGCTCGGCTACAATGTCAGCAAGAAGCTCACCGGCTCGGCTAACAGTCTCTTCAGCACCGCCGTGATAAGCGGCTCCTCGAGTGCGCCGAACCTCAAGGACATGGTGCCACCTCATGCGTCCGCGGTCGCTGGCATGTATCTTATATATATATAATTATTCCATTACGTATATGTAACACATAAGTAATAATTTAATTATATACAGGGTGTACTAAACATCTTTATCACCTGTCATGTCGTACCTGACCGCGCGAAATCTCAGGCCTATCATTTGTGAAATATAATCGCTTATTGTTTAAAAACCATTATAGCCTCAACATTTTTGTATTAGAATTTTTGTCTAGAATTTTTCTAAAGAATTTATGATTAAAAACGATATCCGGTGGTTTTAGTATACATCCTCTATATATATATAATCTAATAAAATAACAGCTAGATAGTGAATAAGTTAAAACAATGAACGTTGCCAATTATGGTCGATTGAAAGCTTAATTATTGTTAGTCATGTACTGGCGTCAAATAATTCTTGATGTTAAAGCAACGAAGAATAATTGTAATTAATTCGTAATTAGTACGTTCAATCACGAAGAATAATCAGCTCTAATTAGTACGTTTGCTTGGTAGCCATAGAAGGCTTCGGCGGAGTGCCGCCCATCAGGCCCCTGGAAACTCTGCACAATGCCTTGTCGCTACGTCAACTGGATTCCTTCCTGGATATGATGACCACGGCGCCGTTGTACAGAACCCCGGCCTCGTCGCCGCCCAAGTCGTCGCCGGCCGGGTCGACGCACGAGTCGCTCAATCCACCCCTCGTCCACGCCGGGATCAGTCGCGAGTACCACTCTTCCGACACGGAAGCTGTCAGGTACCGTAAGAAATTACATAAAGCACGCCCGTGAGTATTGACTTTTTCCCCTCCGTTTCCCTCTACGCCCACTGAATTTCGCATCCCGCTGTGTTTCAAGTAAGGTCGCTTCCATCATCCCGACGAGTATGTCCTGCTAATCTTTCTCGCTGATTTCTCAATAACTATTTGTACGCCACGTATCATTTTGCAATTCCATTGCTAAAAACTCGAATACGCGAGCAATGATTGCTTCATCTCCGGTGCATTATTGCATTACCACCTCGCACAGGTACATTATGCCGACACCGATACAGTATAAGCCCCTTGGCGAAGCGGAAACGTGTGACATCCGGAATCTGCCGTCGCCTACCAGCCCGAACAGTGCGTATCCATCCTATCTGGCCAGGATAGCAATGTGAACTTTGTTTAAATAAACTTTTATGTGTCACGTAGGCACAGGATGGAGTAGCGAGCCGCAATCTTTTCTGTCCTCCGAGCCATCGTCACCCGCGCCAACTTCGACAGGCGAATGCAGTATGTCTATAAGCTTAATTAGCAACGAAAGGTGAGTCTTAAGTATGCCTCGACATACCTACATTTCATCTATTTCTTTCCTTCTTTCCTTTTGCGTTGAATTAATATGATTGGCGGTGTGCTCAGTGATAATTGATACGATAAACTGACTTGGTTATTACTTAACTCTGCAGTCTTAAATTTACTAACAATATATATATTATTTTATAGTTATATTTTTGTCGGTTTACTTATGTTTGACTGTATTTCTCTCTAATATCTAATTGTACGTTGAATGTTAGTAATAGTGTGCTAGAAATAACACATGTCCATTCGCAGTGCCCAACTCTTTATCGCGCCGAAATTCTCCCCGACCTCTTGCCTGGACGTCGACTTTAACGAATTTTGTATTCGTCTCGATCAAGAAAATCGAGAGAGTCGCGGCAGCGTCTCATATACGGATTATTACAGCAACGAGGACGGTCAGATACGCAAAATAACGCAAATACCGCAAGTGATGCAGTCAGGTGCTGGCGGTGCGCAAACGAAGCTCGTGTGTGGCGATGATATTCCCTGCGACGAGGACGAGGACCACACGTTAACTTTGAAACAGAGCGAGGAGCAGAAGAAACAGGATGTTAAGTCAATATTTGAGCAGAGGGACGATGTTAATCCCGCCAAACTAAGCGGGAGCTACAAGAAGATCGGACGGTAGGCAGAAACAAACCGAGCGCACAAGAAAAACCACCGTGTTTTGACTCTCAAAGTTCACTTTTTGTTTTCCGTTGATTTTAATATTGAGAGTCTTTAGTTATTTCATCATTTATCAGGGAAGAATACGGTTTAGCGCAATATATAATATGTGAAGTGACGTTCGTCGATATTTATCGGCGGCGACGTTTGCTTCTTTCAGTTTCCTGGTGGAAAGCACGGATATATCGCACGGCGACGTCCGAATTAAGGATACCGACAACGCCGGTACTTCCGACAAAACGAAACTCTCTACGTCTCAGAAATCCGACTCTTCGGGCATGGGTAAATCTATGGCGGAAAGGGTAAAGAAAGACTCTAAAAAGAGCGGCGGCTCGCACATCGGTTCTCAGAAGCGAAAGAACTTTTCTCGCTCGCAGAGCGTCACGACGCCGAAACCGGTTGCGCCGAAATCTGAACAGACTTTCAGTTACACGAGACAGAGCTCGTTCTCGACCATGTCGGATGCGGATCTGGAAAATTGGAAATTGAGCACGGATCCGGCGCATTCCTCGAGAACGAGCCAGCAGGAAGAGCCTATACTCACCGTAGCCAGCAGTCTCACGGATAGCTCTAACGTCACCGTGGGCTTCGACATTAAAGAGGAGGAAAAGAAATAGATATTCGATCGTAAATGAATTTACTCTGATGTTTTTTTTCCAACGCCCACGTGATATTAGATCTATTCTTACGAAGCGTTTCGCGCGACTAGAATTTTAGAAAGGATAGTTTCCTAGCCTGAGAAAAGTATTAAAACACAGCGGGGGTATTAAGCGGTATTGGACATTTCAATGTTTCGTAGCATTGTCCGGTATCCATTAAGGCCGATAAAAGTATACAACCAGGACCAGTCGTTTAGAGAAAATTATAATAGCGGAACTTTTAAATCCCGTCTCCTTCCAATCCTTGCATTATATAAATGAGACATAAAATCAAATAAAGACGATATATTCTTATTTTAGCTCAAGGAATATCTCTAGGAAGTGATTAATTTCTCTAAATCGCTTTGCGACTTAAAAAAATATATTTTACGAATACAGATTAATACAGTAGAATAATTACCATAGTTTACTCTTAATTATGTAGCAAATATTCGACTTGGAATGTCACGGATCTTTTATAACAAAAAGATCAAATTACTCGACTGATAACAACGAGAAAGAACGATTAATCACTTTACATATCATTATCTGCGCGCTTTGATTAGCTTTAAACTTTGATTCAACTTATTTACATGCATTTAGATTTATTATTCCTTTTTTAGGAGTCCGTTTTAAAAGAAATTAAAAATCGAACATTTTTAGTCGAGATGCAGATTGACTATACTTTTTCAACCTCTTATCATTTTATGGTTTTTAGACAGATGATGATTTTCGCGCAGCTATTCTCTAGGATCATCGCTGTTGACTGTGAATCGTAATTATGCGCGTAGAAGATTGCCTCTTTCCTAAAGAGATTACTGCAGATGTACAAACGCTATGTAGCTAAGCATAGCCATTATGTGTGCTTCAATTAAGTATAAGGGTAACTGAGTAGAGAGACAGAAGTGCGAAGATGAAAATACAGGTGATAACGATTGAGGATTTGAGGCTATCTAGAAAGAAATGTATATTTGTATATTACTGGATTTTGTTCTTTTTATAATCAAGTCGTGGTAGTTGTTTTTTTTTAAATCAAGAGCCAGATATTCTTGAAGTTACCGAATGTACGAGACTGAATACGTATGTGAGCTAGCTTAATGCGTGTCACGTGACAACGAAAATATCTCTTCGAGATCTTACCTCGTGTGGCATAGTCGAGGATATTGCGTTCCTTAGTTTCTTTTTCCGTATAGTGATAAGTACCAGAGAAGATTTTATCCGAGCCAAAGAAGATATCCCGGTTAAGGCGATATAACTACGCTAGAAGTTGCGCGATGGGACGGTCCCGTTTGTTGAAATGCGACTTCGTATTGCGTCAGTACGGAAAATACGTAGTAGTTATTAACCGCAGATGAACCATGTAAAATAGGAAGCAACGTGTTCATAGACACGAAATATACGTACATATATATATATCTATGTTACAAATGTTTTAATAAAACAATTCGGAACGAAACTGTTCGTCGGGAGTCAGTTTTTCCTCAATTTTCTCAAGTGAATAAACCTGAGCGAACCTGAGCGAACGCGATTACAAAGAAAGCTTGTGCTTTGCCAGATTCTGTCTCTTTTATTTATCTTCTTTCTTAAAAATAACGCTGCGGAGATAACTCGGCAACCGTCTCGTCAACTTTACGGCGATTGTCTTTGCTAATCCTTCCTGTCTATAATTGGCTCCACGTCAAACCGACGTGCAGAGTCAATTTGCGATTTCGACGGACACGTGCGCGCCTTTTCCGTTCTTTCGAGGGAGACAGCCAGCATATTGTTCGCGAGCGAGAGAGCGGCCTGGGGGGTGCGATCTACCCCTGAATCAATTAAATAGATATTAGCCGTGTCACTTGATGCAGGCGAGTGCGAGAGACCGACCCTTACAACGAGCGCGTATAAACATCGCGCGTTTCCGCGTGTCAAATCGGATCTCGTGTTTACCCTCCCCCGAGGTGACTTCGACGGGGGTTGCATAAAGTTATTAGTTATCCCTCGGCGCATCCCCCTTTCGTCTCGCGACATTTCCGCGTCCCGGGTTCGCTCTAATTACGTCGCGCGAGTGGCATATGATTTATCCCTTTGCTACATTTTTTCTCGCCCCCTGCCCCGCTCTCCCCGAAAACCCTCTGATATTTGCGCCTCGCAGTAGCGCGACACCGACAAATCGTTTTCCGATTTTGGTTTCGAGTGCGGATTCGTCGTCTGGGGTAGCCGAACACGTTGCGATACTCTTGGAGTTACAATAGAGAGATTTACGCTTATGTAAAAATATTTTATTCGTGTAGCAAAAAGTAATGGAATATATGAAGAGAAGAAAAGAATTTGTATGTTAAATAAAAAAGCTGGATATTTAAAAACATTTACTGTGTACCTGAAATATGTGTTCTGGATTGGAATAAGTGAAGCTTGTATCGTCTTCCCCATATTTTGCGAATATTTGCCCTCTTTTTGATAGACAAAAAGATTAAAACTTTTTCTAGATTTAGAGAGTCTGTAAGTATCGCTTTAACCGAATTCTTTTCTGAGGAAATTAATCTGCTTATATCATATTTTATGTTACACTATTTATATTTCTATATTTTAAAGTTAAAGTTCTGAGTATTATTACAACTTTATGCTTTTATACTTGTACTTACACTTTATACTACTATACTTTACACTTATTATTATAATTAAAATTATTGTTATATACATACATTCATGTTTTGAAATTCTGAAAGGGTTGACTCAGCATTTCACAGCAGAACCGCTTTTGTAATTACATTGCGACGAACAAACACAAGTTTGAAGCGCAAAGAAAAGTATTATAATACCGTAAACGTAATATCACTCGAAATATTTGATAAACTGTGCCCGATAGGATCGTAAACGCAAGTAGAGGACGACGTGGATGTTTAATACAACCCTCTGCTGTAATATGAACTATATACATAACTGCAAGCTGACGCCCCGGATCGATGTTCCAGGCGTCGGCGCCGGTAAGCTCCAGCTCTTTCCGCCGTCATTTTCTCGAGCGACCGATATGATGCGATACGAAATCAAAACGCGAAATTAAATTTTATTCCGCAGAAGAGAAACGGGTCAGGAAGGAACCGGTGGGAGTTCACGTCGAGGGAGAAATTAACTTCTGAAAATTCTAATCTTCAAAACCTGATTAGAAGTCGACGTTATAGTTATTAAATTCTCCGCTGTATCTCCATTGTTTCTTGTTCCTGCATTTTTATTACAATTTTCACGAAGAGCGCTTTAAATATTTAAATCACTTCGGAAGTGCGATTTCACGAAGAGCCACAATTTTCTCGTTCCAATTATATTAATGACATTTGTTTGTAAAATTTTATTGTTATATCATTATTATTACTCGTTATTTGCACCGTTTACTTCACGAAAGGTAAATTATTCATTTCTTATTCAGAAATCGTCTCTATCTTATTAGTTTCAATTTACTACATTTTTAATAATGTCACAAATTTAAATATACACGGAGAATTTTCTTTTAAAATTTACCCTGAAAATCGTGTAAGCGTGGGATAACATGGCATTTTGAAGAACTTTATGAGAGTTTTTTTAAATGTTACCATTTATTTTATTAGTAAAATGTATGATAAAATTTGAAAAAATTCCCATAAAATTCTTCGAAATGCCGTGTTGTCGATTACCTGATTTTCAGGATAAATTTTAAGTGAAATCTCTCCGTGTACATGACGCGAACATAGGGGGAAAACAGATATGATTAAAATTGATATTGCAAAGAACCTGATTTTCGTTAAGAAACAATCTACGCTAAATCTTTCCGAAATTCCGTTCGCAGCACCCTACATTATACCGTGCATCACGAAAATGGGGCGATTCCTGGCAAATTCACGAGAATAAACGGGATAAACGGAGCGAGCCGCGTAAACGCCGTCCTCCGGATTTCGCACGTGTTCGCCCGATCCGATTTTGATGCGCCGCTAACAATGCACACCCGACCCCGTTGCATCGCTGCCCGCAACGGGGTCACGCCTTTGAGCAAAATTACGGGATTTCGTCACGGTTCTTTCCAGACTTTCCTGACGCTTATTACGTAAATTCGTCGCGGAAATCCCCCGGGCAGTTGCGATGAGAGGGTGATCTAACGCGAGAAACCGAGGCACGTAGCAAAAAAAAGGAGCCGATTAATAATATCACAACACGTACCTAATATAAATTAATATTTAACGATAGATACAGCATTCGGTAAAAGACATGTATTTAGATATCAGTTAATATTTAATGTTATTAAACATAATAATATTAAATAAATAGATGTAAAGGTCAAGCTATCTAGTTTACACTCTGTACTCGATCAGAATAATCCCGCAGAAAGTCATGCACATGCAATACTTGAAAGAATTATAATAGATATCCTGGCCGAGGTGATATTTTTTCGCAATAAACTTAGAATAAAATATTTAGACACTGCCACCCTGTCACGGCTCTGAGTCCTTTATTTCTTGAAATTTGTGTTTAACACATATGAGCCATACTAATTTATTAATTATAATAGATATTAAACTGTGACATAAAAAAGAGATAACATTGAAATTCTCTAGCACTTTTAATTATAAATATTAACAAACGACAAAATAGACATGTACTATATATTCGAGCTGTAAGTGGCATACTATTATAAAGCGGTAAGTACTTAATCTTTATTTAAATACAAATTTTTTTGACAATTCGTATTTTATCGTTGAACATTTATTAGTCACGTAAAGAATTATTTAACGCCGGTAACTGATTAATCAATGTAGAAAACTGTTTGACGACGCTTGGCTGACAAATTCTAATTAAAGAAATTTATTGCGAAAAATATTAGGTACCTCAGCCATTTTTACAAAAGGGAAAAAATTTTATTATACATATTGGCTTTGCAGTTTATAGTCCAGATAAATGCGTCTTTATTCGCCAGGCCGAAAGCTCGATTTTCGCGTCGTTCAGTTCCTGTCCATCGCTTCCATCTTACAATCTTTCGGTCGATATCCGAGATCTGCTCTCGCAGCACCGGTAGGCTGCGTCGCGGCAAGCACCGCCCAACGGGGGTACAAGGGGTACGAGGGGGCCCCAATGTCGTGGCTGCGTCGCGGCGCACGCGTCCCGCAACGAACGATCCTCGCGCATTCGGTGATCACGAAGGGGGCGGTTACCCCCGGGGGTGTTCGCGAAATTTCCGAAAATGCGCTACCCCGGTGGAGAATCATCAGAAGAACGGGACGTTCGGGCCCCGAAACGTCGCAGGACGTCGTCAAAGTGTCGTCGCGCGCGGACACCCTCTCTTTTTTTTAATTTTTTTCCACCCTCTGCAAGTGAGTGACCTAAGCACGCTGGTGGTATCCGCTCGTCGTTGGACAGGAAGCGGGATATGAGCTACACCGAACCGCTGTGGGAGATTAATGGAAATCAAGCACCAGTGAGTTCGAGGGCGAGACCCGCACGATTTACGGTGTCATCGATTTAATTATTAAAAAAAAACAAAAGGGGGAAGGCGATTATTATAGCGGCACGTTTTGCTCTGTTGACCTATCTATAAAATTAAATTATATATTAAGTGATTTAATTATAATCATATAAAATTATAGAAAAGCTCCGTCTGTGATAATTATAGCCGAATACCGATTAACGAACATGTCAAGTGAGATACAGTGTCAGATTATGACTACAAATCGCCGTGATGCATTTTAATAATTAACAGTTAATTAAGCCAAAATTAAGAGTGACTTTGATTAAACTCCAATTATCTCAGTTGGTGATTAATTTATCCAGCAATATCAATATTTTGTTCAGCATGAATACACTGAAAAAAATTATTTCACTACCATAGTTAATTCATGCTTTGCTAAAAATATTTTGTTGCCGTAACTATAAATTTCTAAACCACAGCAAACGGTTTGCTGTCGCACCTAATACAATAGGCACAGTAACCAAATATTCAGCTATCATAACTAAATATTAGCTGTTGATATTTTACAACTGAAATTTAGTTACTACATGTAATTTTTAGCTGTGGCAGCTACATTTTTTTCGTTTAGATTGTCAATCGTTTGTTTGACACGTGGAAAGAAAGATTGGATTAAGGGCCAGGAATTATATAATTCAAAAGTTTGTTGCGAGTAAATTTTGCTGAGAATTAATTATCAACTAAGTTAATCGAAGTTTGACCAATGTTGCCCTAAAAGTCTGGTTCTATTAACAGGCAACATGTCCCCGTCAAAACGCATGTTCTCATTTCCAAAAAAGAGCATCAAAACCCAAAGGGACGCGTTTATAATATTTATATCTTATTTTGTAACGTTATTTCTAATTTTATACAAATCTATTAGACACGCTGTAAATGTTTTCCGGATTCTCGCGTAACTCGCGTTGCGACGGATTCTCTCGGACGAAATCTGTAGGGCAAGAAGGGGCTGTTTGAGGCTCCAATTATATTATTAACTAATTTTACATTAATTTTTAAATTATTATTTTTTCTTGTTATGATTGATTCATTGCTTCCACTCTCAGTTTCAATGTTTCCATTTCAGTTGTCCCCTCCGCGGGCTCTTGGAATCCCTGAGCTTCCAAGATTTTTAGATGTCTTAAAGTTTTTTATTCGATTTTTTCTTTAACTGATTTAAATAGCCCCCCTCCTTGCTCTATTCTTTGAAACCTGTACGTAACAGGTAATCGCGGCGGAGATGTCGCAGTACGTCGGCGGTGAGATCGCCAGCTACCCGATGTGGGACAGTTCCGTTTTGTATCAGGCACAACCGCCCGCTCATCCGCACGTGAACGAACACGGATTGTACAGGCAACCCTGCGCGTTGTTGCACCAGAGGTAATTCATTCCGCGAGGCTGTGGAACTGACCACAAGAGAAAGTCGAAAGGTAAAGGGACATCTGGAAAAAGAAGATTTAGTAATTCTTACATACGTTTTGTTGCCATTCCTTTATAATCTCCGCGAACATTTATACATTTATCGTCTGAGCTTTCTAATTTTCTACTCAAACAAAACCTTAGTTTGATGCGAAATTATCTCTACACCACGTAAGAAAACGACCGCAACAAAATTTCTGTGAGAATTACTAATTTCTCTTTTTTTTCACTTTCCTAAGGGTCCTTTTACTTTTTTACTTTCCTCCGCGTATTCAATTAGAACGATATTATTTCTTATCTTTTGAGCCTTCATGAATGGACGTGAGGCTCTCAATATTACCGTACTATAATCACGTGATAAAATTGTGTATAAAATTCTGGAATTTTCAGTCGTTATACGTCGAACGGCCGCTCGCCGAATTTGCCATCGTCAACGACAAAGAAACCGAGACGTCGAGTGGCGACGGTATCGCAGAGGAGAGCCGCGAATATCCGGGAGAGACGCAGGATGTTTAATCTGAACGAGGCCTTTGATAAACTTCGTAGGAAAGTATGTGATTTTATTGTAAAAATGAAATATTTAAGTTATTAAAGACTTGTTAAATTTTATCACATATTTTGCAATATTAATCAATCTTAGTTTAAAGGAAATAGCTCATTTATAATACAAAGAAAATATGTAAAAAGCCTTTAAAACTAAATATAAATATAGGATATCATGAAATATAATAACATTTTAAGGTTTAGTAAATTTAAAAATAAGAAAACTATTGAAAACCAAGTTTGATGTAAATATTGGGTTATGTGTTAAATATACATATAAATTGAAAATGATTAAAATAAAGTAAAAATTTAATTATACAAATTAATTGTGATAAGAATAAAATAGTTAACGATAAAAAGTAAAGTTATTTGAAGCAAAATTTAATTTTTACTTAAAAATGTATCGCCTACAATTGTTAATATAGATAAGCTTTTATTACATTTGAATTATAATAGAAAAGGTGACGTTTTTTCTCTCGATTATCTTTAGAAACTTCCCGTTTTCGATTCTTCAATCTGATCGTTCATGTTCAGGTACCAACGTTCGCCTACGAGAAACGGCTCTCAAGAATCGAAACATTGCGTCTAGCGATCACGTACATCGCCTTCATGGGGGAGCTACTCGGTATCGAGCCAAGTAGTCCGAAGCCGGAATACATACCTCGGGAGTATTACTTGCCAAATTGAATGTCTTTCTCTCCTCTATCGTAATTAACGAGGCGTTCACGGGCCAATGCGAGTCTACGTCTTACTGACGAAAAACGTCTAGTCGGCGAAATCAGTCTTCCATTATTGATTAGCATTATAACATTAAGTCTCGAAATGTAATTTAACACACGTTCACATATGACACTCGTACTTCTACGATATTACTCGATCTTTTTCGTCTCAATCCATTACTTTTTTCGATACTATCACTCTTCGATGTTGTGCAAAAATTTCTATGTACGAAATGTATGGAAAAATAGTAGATTAAAATCTAAATGGATTTATCGAGCAATCCTCGAAACACTGTTCTAGTATCGAACGGATTAAATATTCGATTAAAATGTTTTCCCTTACTATGCAGACAATAATCTTGTAATGCTTTATCGTGTCGTTTATTACGAATCTCGTGTGATTGAAGGGAATGATTGCAATATTAAGAGATAAAATTAAGATCCTCTGTCTTTTATTCTTCGTAAATACGCGTTGTATGTTATAAGATGGCGTTGGATTGCGGCGAATCAAAAAAGGAACATTTTACGAGTTTGGTCTCCAATGTTGAACAAATTAATCGGCAAATAGAAATCTCGTAAATATTGAAATTGTAACAAAAATATTGAACTTGTAAATTAAAAAATTATATTATACCTTTTCTGATAGTAATGAGAATATTCATCAGAATCCGTATTTGTCTTTATACAATACAACCCCATCTTACATCACTGCAATTATTAATTTTAATAATATGATTGCTGAATATATGTGTATAACTATTTGTCTCTGATTATCGAAATTGCGGATTGCAAAAATAAATAAGTGTGAAAATAAGTTAAAATAAAGATTTAAATGATAACATATTATATCCCGTATTCTGCGAGAATTTGTTTTTATACGCGAATCCTGATAATGATCCAAAATTGCTTATCAACTACTGGCGATTCACATTCTTTCGTTGCTAACATATAAATTATATTTATAATTGCAAAATATAAAAATTTGCTGACAAGCTACGTTGTACTCCTTTTGCCAACAAAATTTGTAGTAGATTGTACTCGATAAACTTGGTTATCTATATATTTTATTGTAACTTTGCATTTTCTGGTTATAAATGAAATGATGCCTTTCCTTTAAATTTGAATTAAATTTTTATCCGATAAAAACAGACCAACTTGTAGAGGCCCTCCACCACCCCCGCCGAATTCTTATCGGCGGTCCTCTTTTGTTTGCGATAATGTTGCGTTTTTACATTTTTATAACTTAATTTTTTTCAAAACATATTTTGAAATATATACAAAAATATAAAAAAAGAGAGAAAGTTACATAGCGAAACTAAAAACATAATACACAATAAAAATATGTGCAATTTTTCATTATGACATAAAATTACATATAAACATGTGACACGTGTGTGTTTACAATAATACATACCTAACTCTTACAATGTAAAACATTAATAGAAAATGTTACACAGTACACACAACGTGTTACATATGTGGCTGTGCTCATAATTATGTATATGTACAACATTTTTTATTAATGTGCAAACGAAAAATCAAACTGTAAAGGCAAATTTATCGATCAATTGCAAACGAAACTCTATCGATTAAAAAACTATGTAAATCAAATTGAACTAAAATCTATTCGATAGAAACACATCGACCTATACATATAGAGGCCCTCCACCACCCCCGCCGCGTTTAATCGACGGTCCTCTTTTCTTTACAATTTGATTTTTTACATTCTTATTATTTATTTCATTTTCCTTATATTTACTTTACAATACATACAATATAATAAAAGAAATAATGACATTATAAAATTAAAAATATAATGTCTGTACAATATCCTACAATATTTCTCTCGACGTTCTATATAAAATATGCGGTATACGTACAATAACGCGAAATTCTTTTTATGTACCTATTATATTAAAGTCATTGTTACTTCGTTAATTTATGTTACCTAATTTTTTAAACTGTCGAATCATGTCCCGCTATCCCTGACTATCCGAATCCCTACCTACCCGTATTCCGATCTATAGACCTATTTATCCAATTTCTACCTACCCGTGTTTCAACATAATGAACCTACAAATCTTTAATTAACCGCGACGCGAGTTTCTAGGGGTTTGACTTGGAGTTTAACGCGACCGCGGGATTTAATAGGGGTTTCACTCTCGCACATATGCGAGAATGTATGTATATAGAAGCATAACCCACCCGAATTGTGACAAATCAAAAGAAATCAAAGTATACTTCATGCAGCACCTTACTTAGGTACTCCATCAGAGTGGCCAATATTGACCACATACCTCGTCGTATTTAGTCCTTCGGTGGGCCAGATTGGACCTACCTTTCGTTGCTCCCGGCCATACAGTCTGGTCATTTTGACCAGAGATCAGGAAGGAAGAAAACTCCTTCCATAGTCGGTTATCGTCACCGACAAATATTTCGTACGGTTCGAATATACGAGTGTCGAACGTATCGAAAAATGCACCACCACGCGAGACGTTAATTAAAGAAGAATATTAATTAAAAAAACTTACTGTATATACGAATCAAAATTATTTTTACTGCCGTTAGTTATTCAAAAATATTGACCATCTCTTCGTAATTTAATCTTTGATTTCGAAATTCAAGTAGGTATAGAAAAAAATTTACTTCGCGCGTTAGTGATTTTAATCATATTCCACGACCAATTAAGATTTATAATATGGATAAAATTAAACAATTAATAATTTCTTAAAAATTTTTGTTGGAAAACCGATCGCGAAAACCGACCGCGAAAATGCAGAGATGCGTGTGACTATGCATGTATTCATGCGAGACGCATCTTGAAAGTACATATATAACGTACGTATATACGTATGTACATACATACACAGAATAAATGATGTGAGATCCAGAAGAACGAAACTTCTTTCAAGATTTTAACCGATATTATAATAGCATATTATAATTAATTAATAACTGCAAATAATATATAAAAATAAGTTAAACTTTCAGTGTTCTCAACAAAATATATTAGGATCTCACATCATATTATTTTATTTTATATATCAATTTATTAATAAAAATAGATAGGCTACAACAGATTAGCTCGGCGAATAAATCAATAATATTCGCCATATTTCGCTTAAGTTATATGATGTAATTCAACGATTCTCAACATGGAAAGTGAATTCAATATATCTTAATATGTAGAGTTTCAAAAGATTAAATGAATGTAAAAGAAAATTAAACCCGTTGAAAGCCAAAAACCCCGCTGCAGGAAAGAATGAATCCCAGATCTTCCGGATTACCTCCGATAGCGGTCATTTCGGCAGGGAGTTAACGACGATCGTTTCTCAAATCATTCAATCGCGTATATTTTCATTTTTATTGCAATATAAATAATTCTTCCATTATTAGTGTTAATGGGAGAATATTTATGGAGAAGGATATGTATGAAATCTTCTCTTCTTTTTCTGTTAATTTCGCGAATCAACGTCGTGCCCTTATGCCGAAACCGTTGTTTTCGGGGATCCGTGACAAAGAAAACCAGGGATTAACTCTGGTTCTGCAACGGAAAACCCAACCTTCCACTTTGAAGATCGCTACCACTACTCTTCGGTAGGTTAAATATATTAAATAAAATATTAAATTATTTGTAACCTATCCATTTTGAGGTAACGAATCTACAGAATATATCTACAATCTACAGAATATATCTACGATCTACAGAATATATCTACGATCTACGATCTACGAGATGTAGATTCGTTACCTCAATAAAAAAATTTCTCACTCACCGATCCGATGCGCAACAGCGGAGTTCTGCCACGTAGCTGCGTTGATTCTGTAACATATAAACAAAAGTCAGGTTAAAATAGTATTCAATAAAACTAATATTGTAAAATATAATTTTTAGACATATTGAACTTTTTACTTAGTTAGATATGTAAAGGATTATATCGCGAAAGATTGTTTTGAGAATAAACTTTTGTTAAATTTAAAATTGCGTTTTGTTTTCTAGTTATTATTTCTAATTATTAGAAATTATATGAAATTAAGATATAAAATAACTCAATACAACAATTAATAAAATTCAAAAGGCTCTGATGTGAATAAACAAATACAAAATAATAAAGGAATGAATAAAATAAACCGGAAAAGAGATTAATTTTACACAAAATAAAAGTAATATTTACCGCAAAGTTGCTCCGCCGGCGCCTGATGCCTCTCCCAGGCCTCCTCCTCCACTTAAGTTGTCTTCTGGCACACTCGCGAAAACACAAAGATCGTTCGCGCGATTTTACACTTTGAGTCTTTAGTCCGATTACACAAACGACACTCCCGAACGCGACGCGACGCGACGAATCGCCGCGCGCGGTTGCGATTCGTTTAAACTGACGAAATAAGAGCGAAATTATTCGTCAGTCCTCGAAAGTTAGTGCTGAAATGAACAAAATTAATTAATAAATAAAATAAATAAATGTGCTCTCTAAGAGTCAATCGGTGGATTATCACTGAAAACAGTGAATCGATTTGTTATTTTCAGCAATAATCCACCGATTAACTTTCAGAGAGTGTTAGGCCTGGTTTATCATTTTCTGGTTAACTGTCAATGTGGAAGTTACTCGACTCTCTATCCTTTTCTATATTATTATCTAAGAAAAGAGAGAGAATCGATTAAACTTTGGCCAACAGTTTATTAAAAAATGAAAAATTGGGCCTAAATAGTGCAATGGGTACTTTTGGTTGTCCCGTCTTTAGAGTATGTTATACTCTCTAAAAGTCAATCGATGGATTATCACTGAAAACAGTGAATATTCACTGATTCAGTGATAATACACTGATTGATTTTTAGAGAGTAACTCTTCAGGGTACTTAAGCCCCTCCACCGCGGCAAGGTAGTACCCGAGGAGAGGATTATCGACAAAAGGTCGTGCAATTATGTGTATATTTAAAAAAATTAATATCGAGTGAACATAACTTATAGCGAATTCGGTTGCGTGCACTAGTGCGCACTTAGTGCACAGGCTCGTTTGGTCCATTTTTATATTAAAGAATCGTCTTAAATATTTCTTGAAATATTTCGCAGCCAGTAAAATGATCTGTATAGCATCCATACGGATCATTTTTTCACTGTATCCAAATGCCACTTCACTCGCGAATTTACACTTCCGTTTGTAAAATCATTTGTCACTGTCACTGTATCCAAATGCCACTTTTTCGGATTTCACTGTGTCCGATTGTCACCGAGTTTGATTGCCACTACGAAGTGTTCGATTACATCGTCGCACTGATACCCGCACAAATCACTGACACAAATCGCGGAAAGTCAACGATCGCACGATGATATCGATCATTGATTATTCACAGAGAGCGATCGCGGTTTCTGCCCGCACTTGTCGCGAACGCGTATCAAGAAAGAATAATACGACGTGCGAAGCGGCGCGGGCATAACCGATCAATTCGATTGTCGCCGCGTGAATGATCCTGCGTACGGCGCCGTAAACACCTCTGCCGAAAACCGAGCGCGGATTCCAAGAAATGACGTAGCGCCGTAAACACCTTGGTCGAAAACAATCTATTGTGTCGAATCATTCGGCGCGGCAGATATACCGCGTGTCTTCGTGTCGCTCTTCGTAACGCGATCATTTCCTACGAGAATCTCGATCATCTCCTACACTGAGAAAAATAACCAATTAAATATAATCGGATAATCCAATTACATAATAACAAACGGATATATCCAATTAAATTGTATACCCGATGAAAAATATGATCGGTTTTCCAATCAAATTTCATCGGTAACTGTATTTCATCGGATAAATTTTATCGGATGTATCCATCATAATTTAATCGGAACACGTAATCGGAAAAATTAACCATCGGAAATGCTATTTAATTGGTTTATCCGATGGAAATTTTTCTCAGTGCACGTACGCGATCGTCCCATTCGAAAGTTATTAACATTTGTCAATTGCGTTTAAGTAATTATCGTGATCCGTAATCATATTGTTAATTTCTACGGTGATTTGTGGCGACGACGACGCGACGCACGACGAACCGCCGCGTGCGGTCGCGATTCGTTTAAAATGCGACTTTTACTTCAAATTATGCGTGGTATT